ATAATAATGCCCCCGACTGGCTGAAAGGGCGAGCATGTTTGGTGTGATGGGGATTCGAACCCGCGACCCTCAGATTGCGAGCCAAGTGCCTTATCCACCTGGCCATGCCGGGCCTGCCTAAAAACTGTAAATGTAATACAGCTAACAATAATACTAGTAAGTTTTACTTAGTGTTTCTGTATATAATGTAAAACACATACTAAGCTGTAACTGTTAATGCTGTTCTTATAATATTTATTATGATATATTAAATGACTATATCATTATTAAAGGTGGTTCAAGGTTAAGTTGACTCAAGTCATAACACAATGTCTGTAAATACTAAAATTAATTGTATTACATCTGAAAGAAAATGCAATACATAATATATGAGTTGGTAGCTTTTCTTGAAAGAAATTTACAAGTAAAAGGTTACACTGTACATTTTCTTCTTTTGATATTTATGTATAGTTCAAACAGATGTTAAATTAATATTTTATTTTTTTATTTTTGTGAGAATTGGAAAAGTGAATAGTTTCTTTATTGAAACAAAATAAAGGGCAAAATATTGTTGTAATATAATTTAAAAAAAAGATTCAGAAACATATCCGTAAACATTGCACCTCACAATTCAAACAATAAATATTTAGTTTTGTTCAAAGAATTTGCAGCTAAGACCAACAACTGAAAATTTTCTCCAATAATAATTAGCAAGACTACTCACCTAAATACAAGTTTCACTAATTTAATTTCAAAATACTAGCACTTACACTAAACTCTGGAATCTGAAAAAGTCATATTATTATTATTACTATTGATTAATTGTTTTTAAAAATACCTTTAGCAACAATGTGCATTATTCCCTATATTTATAATTAAGAAATTTGATAACCTCAGTACTTTCAAAATTCTAGAGCTTCTTTCTTCTGTGGAATCACACAGGTTATGAAATTTCTTGAATTGTGATAATTTTCTATCCCATGTGTCTTAAAATCATCATTATTCCATGTTATCAATTAATGCAACTTAGCATATTATAATTAATCAAGCAAATAACTTTGGTAAATCAGTTGGTTTATCTTCTGTTATAGTTTAGAAATAAACTCACTTCCTTAATAAAATTTCCCAATTTTCACTGAGGTTAATTTTCTGTGCTGTACATAAATACAGTTTGTATACATACAAGGAGCTAATTAAATTCAAAAAACAAAAACTATTCTGTATTACATATGAGTAAAAATAATTAACTTAAATCTCATAAAAAAAATTTACCAAAATATATTTTACACTTTAAATGGAGGAAGGAATACTAATAAAAGAAACATTAAAACTGATTAACATATGTTAAATTATTCACTGTAATTTAATTTGATTACTTTTAAGGAAAAAACTACACAATGGGCGATCTCTACTCTGCAGGTACTGAAGTTTAATGTTGTAAGCTATGAGACTTACCACTGAGCCACCAGGGACCACTGTGATTTCCTTGATTTTTTTAAACAATTACCTACCAAGTAGCATATCCTCAAAGGGTTAAAGAGTTTTATTAAACTCTTATATTTTATTAAACTTGGATTACAATATATTGAGAACATAGTATTTAATAACATAAATTTATTGATCGAAACAGCTAATATGATTTGAAAAAAAAAAATGCATATTTCTTGTCCTTACTTATTTACACATATTGTTTACAATTTGTAATGTGCACAGTAGTTGGAGCTGTTGTAAACTTGTATATTATTATTAAAGTTCTGAAGAATTTCAGATTTAGACACAATGCTATTGTTATACATACTCTTACCTTGAGCTGTTTGGAAAATCCTTGTTTCGTCCTGACTGTAACCAATCTCATTTTTGGCTCTCAACTGAACTTTGTAGTAGGTGTTGGGTTCCAATCCAGTTATAATATATTGGGCACTTTGCCAGTTATCTACAAGATTCTCTAATTTGACTTGACCATTTTGTTTCCAATTGTCTTCACCATCTTTTTTGATCTTACAAAAAACAACCTCAAATAAAATATTTTATAGAAAACTTAGAAAATCAATAAAGTACTGAATAGAAACTGCAAAGGATGTGATGATTAGGATATATTTTTTGACTATTTTAAAAGGAACATACTTGAATTGCTTTTTCTTATAATATATAAATACTAGTAAGGATTCATGGATAATACACAGTGATGGTAAAGTGTAAAATAAGAAAAACTTCACTGCTTGCTGGATTGATGGTACATTTTGAAAAATAGCTAGAATAAATGTAGGCCCCCTAATAATTAAGGCATCACAAAGTACACAAAGTATCTTAAAAGGCTGTTCCATGTCTTTAAAAGTTCAAAGAATGTATCCTTATATTGAAAAAGAGGTAAAGTTATCACATGTGTTAGCTGTGATTCGCCGGACTGTCAACAAAATAATAATGAAATTAGTGAGCCTATAATAAACAATTAATTTATAATTTCTTGTCCAAAAATAATGCAAAACACTCCCAAAATAAAATGAAACAAACAGTTTCCCATGACACTGGAGATGTCACTATTTAAGCTTTTATACATTGCCAAAAAAATGGCAGCAATCTTTTTCAATCAAGGTGTAGCTCTGGAAAGTAAAGTGTAGTTAAATTGCTTTAATGTAGATAATTATGACTTCTAATAACTAAATATGCATATTCACACCATTCTAGATATGTATAGAAAAAAATGTGGCAACGCCTTCAGAATTGACAGTCTTTGCATCTACAATTCTGTATTATGATATCGTACAATACAAGAACTTAGTAATTATTTTACACAGGAGTATCTTGTTAGAATATTGAAAAACAATGTTAGCATTATTATTGTCTGTTGTAGTTCTGAATATTTGCATAATAATGGTGGTCTAAAGTCGCAGATATAGATATTTCATTATTGGTTCAATGTCTTTTTAATCATAACTTTAATCCCACAAATATAAGTAAATTAAATGTTATTCCACAATATCTCAATGTGTAAAAACTTCAAAAGTAACATTCATTACTTTGCCCAAATAAAATTATAAAGAAACTTAACATAATTGACATTGTGACCCGTACCTTAAAGTAACGTAGTTGAAAAAGTTTAATAGGCTTTCCATTGTCTTGGTTTATAGTCCATCTAATTTCTATTTTGTCTGGAAATGCACTTATATTTCCTGAGGGTGAAACTATTATTGGTGGATCAGGGGCTGATTCTTTTGGCATTGTCCATGACTCTTTATCAAGCCACATCCCTGTGCCAACTGCATTCTTTGCTGCAAATCGAAAAATGTAGGTAGCTCTTGGTTTCAGGTTTTCCAGAATGTTAGTTGTTCCTGTAAAAAATGTCAAACATTTTTTGTGGTTAAACTTAACCAAATAGTAGGTAGCTCTTGGTTTCAGGTTTTCCAGAATGTTAGTTGTTCCTGTAAAAAATGTCACATATTTTTTGTGGTTAAACTTAACCAAATAGTAGGTAGCTCTTGGTTTCAGGTTTTCCAGAATGTAAGTTGTTCCTGTAAAAAAAATGTCAAACATATTTTTTGTGGTTAAACTTAACCAAATAGTAGGTAGCTCTTGGTTTCAGGTTTTCCAGAATGTAAGTTGTTCCTGTTAAAAAAAATGTCAAACATATTTTTTGTGGTTAACTGAAACTTAACAAAAATAGATATATTTATTTGCTTTTTTCACGAGAACATATGTTATCAATGTAAATCTAAATAAAAAAAAAAGAATATTTAAATCACCACCTAATGGTCCAGAAGTCTTGATAGAGCATGATATGGTGAAGTTTCAGAAAATAAATCATGTATCTATTACACAATTAATTCCTGCTTATTCTTGGGTATAAAATTATTATTTTTTTGTTATACATGTTATTAATAGAAATTAACTATAAAATACTCTTTCATATTAACTAATACTGAAACACCACTCTTTAATTATGGTGGCCAAACAGTTGCTACTGAACATTTTGCTACCAGTCTTTTCTTTACTAGGGTATTTCACTACCAGGTCATTTTGCTACCCGATAATTTTATGTCATAACCTCCCTTATATATCTCATTGAAGATCATAAAATAAAAATATTTCTTCAGTATTAGTTCATTAGACAAACACTCCTTCAAAATAAAAAAAGCTCTTATGTTGTAAAACATTTTATTTAAAATGATGAAAGATCTGAACTTTTTAAAAATAAATCAGGCCTTCCTCGATTAGTTGTCGAGCCATAATGAGTTATTTATATGTAGCTGGAACAGGTAGTAAAATACCTTAGTAACGAAAAGATCGGTAGCAAGCTGACCAGTAACAAACTGTTCTAGAACCTTTAATTACATGTCATAGTTAAACGCCAATCTTCATTAAAACATATTATTATGTTAGTATATTTTACAGTATTTTAATAATTATTTTTTATTTGACACTACAACACAGCATTATTTGAATAAGTGTTGCATATAGTACTAATGAGTCTACTTGTGGCTTGTTAAGTCCAAAAATCACCATTATGTAAACTTCTAGATTTGTGGAAACAAAATGAAATGCATTTTTAAGATTATAATATAATTTAATGTAATAATAATATTATAATATAATTTAATGTAATAATAATATTATAATATAATTTAATGTAATAATAATATTATAATATAATTTATTAAAATGATAAAGGAAAGTACAAGACAATTTTATCATTTGTGTTTTTCTTAACCCTAGAATTACCAATATATCAAATGTATACCTAAGGGTAAACTCTTTCAACACGTTTTTCTAAATTATTTATGCACAAAATTCTTTGTGGGTCTATGAATTTTGTTGATGTTTTAGTACAACAGTAGAATAAGATATATTAATGAAGAACAAACTTGTTTGTGTTTTTTGTAAAACTTTACTCATAAAGATGTTAATAATTTAGCATACCATATTTTAATAAAAGTGCAAGATTATTTATTATTATTATTAAAAGAAATAACTTTTTATATGCATATCATAATCATAAAAGTTCAAGAACAGTTTAAAACCTAAAATAATATGTTTCTAATATGTAACAGCATAAAGAATTTTCATTAATATCGATATAACAGATGCAAAAAAAAAAAAGATTCAAATGAGAACAGTTTTAAACTACAAATAAAAACAAAAAAGTTAATTAAAAAACGGCTTACCTGCAGTCATTTCTTTTACTTTAACATTTTCTGGTAAATCACTTTCTTCTCTATATTCCACCAAGTATGAAGAAATAGGCATACCTCCATCATCCTCAGGACCCACAAACTCAAAGGTGATCGTTGTAGATGTAATGTCTTTGTAATTCACTTCCAATAGCTTTCTTGGGACAGCTTAAAAAAATTACCATTTCATAAATTATGGAAGCTACTTTCTCTATCCTCAATCATGCTTAATCTGTTAGCCATGAGTAAGCACTACTGCCCCAACTTTCTCTATCCTCAATCATGCTTAATCTGTTAGCCATGAGTAAGCACTACTGCCCCAACTTTCTCTATCCTCAATCATGCTTAATCTGTTAGCCATGAGTAAGCACTACTGCCCCAACTATGCATTTCCCATTCTAACAAGTTTTTTACAAAGGACAGCGAGGTCAATATTAAATTACACACCCTAACAAAATTTTCACAGGCCTTCTACTGTATGTGGAAATTGGTTTTCAAAACAATGTTTGACCAGGCCAAAGGCCAAAAGCTCATTGGTGAGACTTTACAGTATGTGTTCTAAAGTAATGGCTAAAATTCTAGTATCTTTGGCTACTTTTCTGATGAAAATAACCATTAATTTTTAGGTTTGGCTGAAAGCCTTTGAGCCTTCAAGAATTTTCAATCTTTGTTTATTATCCTATTAATGATTCCAGGAGATAAACCCAGCTTCATTACAATGGCATTTTGAATCAGAGAGTTCTCTTTTGTAATCATAGCCTTTACTTTGCAGATAAGAGAGCACATTTTTGCCAAAAAAATGCTCTGCACTGTGAGAATTCTTGTTTCATGGAGAACACTAAAGGCTTCCTTGTTTGAAATATTGTGTCCTATAATTTGGATGTACATAAAAAATACTGTGTGATTATTTGTCTTTGGAAAATGTTGTCAAATAATCCTCAAGCCATAAATATTTCCACGGTAGCATTACACACACACTGTTGAATAGTCAGGAATTTGCCACAAACCAAGGCTCACATCTGCACTGACCTGCCACTGCATTAGCATGTGCAAATTGTTCTTATAAAATGAGACTAGTCTTCTGTACAACAACATATGTTGACCTGGATCTATCTATATAAAGTAGCACATGGATCTGAAACTAATCACAGAGCAGCATGTGGGCCTAGAATTAATCACATGAATTATCAGCATCTGAGTGTAAAACATCATGGAAAACTGTTATTCTAAAGCTATATACACAGGTGTAAATGGATCTGAAACCAATTATAAAGCAGTTCTACAAGTAATAAACCTATAGTTTTATAATCCAAAATTGACTTGTACCTCACAAAAAATAGAGATCAGAATGAAACCCATTCAAAAGTCAAATGCAAACTATTTTGTTCTCAACTTTTTTTTTGGCAAATAACTTAAGTAAACAAATTACCTGGCCATAATAAGTATTAAGGTTTTTTTTTTATAAATTGTTTAGCCAGAGTATTCATAATGAGTACAATGGAAAGGACAGCAACTGCCTATTGTAGGAAAAAACACAGGTGTAGAGGACACTTGTGTTTTTTCTACAACAGGCAGTTGCCACTTTTCCTTTGTACTCATTGTTGAGGTATTTGTTTTTAATCGTACGTTAGTTGAAGATGATCCACTCCTATGAGTTGAAACATCACAGTTTTAATTACTTCGAAACCATTTCTTCTACAAAACTTTTGAAGTTTTTTTGATGTTATAAACTTATTTATAGTAAAATTTTTGTTATATTTATGTATGATTTCAAATACCACAGTAAAAAAATTTGTATCAATACAACTACAAAATCTTTATGAAAGTTAAAACAAAAGCCCTACAATATGTTTGCTAACTTACAGCATTTTAAAAAAATGCATATTTGTAAATACAACAAGTAAAGCAAAACATCTTAAAGTTGAAAAAATGCTATCAAATATCCTTGTCTATTAATTACGTTGAACTTACAAGCTTCGGTTAACTGGATGATAATGTTGTCTTTCCCATGAATGTTAACCCCTTCACAGTCGTAGGAGCCATACACATTCGTTTTGGAAGAAGGTTTCACCTGTAACATAAAACATCTCTTGTTACAGTTTACTTCTAAAATCTTTCAAGAGGATTTATTCTAACTGGATAATTTGTTCAATGTTAAAAAATGTACATTATTATTTTTTTAATAAATGTTTCCAAAAGAAACCAAACATTTCTAAAATATTCAGTAATAAAAGTTTGTCTTTTGTTAAACATAAAATTACACTGTGGGATATTTGTGCTTGTCCCCCACAGGAATCAAAACCTGGTTTTAGCATTATAAACCTTCAGACTTACCGCTGAGCCACAAGAGGGCCAGGAACAAAAGAAAAGTAATACGTACACATCAAGTAAGATTAAAGTTTCAACTCTTTACTTCTAAGCAGAAGAAAGTGTATGATTTTGAAACCAGACAGATAAATAATGTGGATTCAAATCATTAGATACTTTCTATGTCCTCATATAAGTCAAAATTTTAACAATAGGGTATCCTCAGTAGCTGTGGCTGTAATAAGATATCAAAATCGGTCAAGAGGTGGTGCAATGAGCTAAAAGTTTGAACTTGAAAAAAAAATCGGAGCCATTCTATGAGCCACTATGCCATGGCTAAAAATACTGTAATTATAATGTATGATTAAGATTTC